TTCATTTTTGCATCCTGAGCCCTAAAACCCTACCCATGCTACCAGGCTCCCAACAGAGGAACCCGATTTCAAGCAACCGTCCACATCCTGAGGCTGAAAGCATGTGGCGTTGGAAAAGATTCCTAAACCCTGAACCCTAAACCGAAAGACTAGGTCCAGAGGGCTCAGGGCTCAGGTGGCGGGATGAAAGACTCGAAGGGAACAGGGACAGGCCCTGGTGTATTGAGCAGATCGGGAACCTACTGAAAGCCCTGAACCCTGAACAGGGGTTTAGGGCTTTAGGGGGTTTAGGGCTTTAGGGGTTTAGGGCTCAAGGGGTTCAGGGTTTAAGGGTTTAGGTCTTTAGGGGTTTAGGGGTTTAGGGTTTAGGGTTTAGGATTTAGGGCTCAGTACAGCAGAAGACCCAGCGGAAGCCGGCAAACCCCCGTAAAGCCCCCTATCCGTAAACGTACTTGCCTTGGCAGGTGTTCGCATCGGAAGGCAGCCGCCCAACTTCTCCCTCTTCTCCATGACATACCGCAACTGCATCGGACCCTAAACCCTAAACCCTAAACCCTAAACCCTAAACCCCAAACCCTAAACCCTATACCCTAAACCCTAAACCCTAAACCCTAAACAGGTCTTAGGGTTTGGGGGTCTCGTGGTGACGGATTTTAGGGCCTACACGGTCTAGAGCCTAAGTCTTCGGGCCGAGAGCCATGGAACCCCAAGCTTTAGAACTCTAGAACCCACGGTTTAGGGTTTAGGGTTGAGGGTTCAGGGTTTCGGGTTTAGGGTTTCGGGGTTAAGGTGTCGGGTTTAGGGTTTAGGGTGGAGGGATTAGGGTTGAGGGTTTAGGGTGCGTGAGGGAGTAAAAATCCGGTGCAAGGCGTGGACTTCTCGGCTCAAATATGAAGTTTCGACGTCAGAAGGGTCGTAGAAACGGAAACAGGAAAGGAAGGTCTAGTTCCAAATCAGGGCTGGGTTGAAATTCGGCTTCTCATGCTGTTCTGAGTGGATCTTGAGTCCTAGACATCTACCCACAACCCCTGAACCCAACACCGAAAATCCCGTCAAAACCCCCCCACAAAAAGAAACTAATCTTGAACCCACGAAGCAGCCTGAGCCTAAACCCCACAACCACCGAAAACTACAACTCTGATCCGCACCCGCGGTTCAGGGTTTCGGCTTTAGGGTTTCGG